AAATGGGAGAAAAATGGGAGGAAAAATGGGCAAAAAATGGGGGGAATGGAGCAAAACAAGGAAAAATTGGGGGAAAATGGGAGAAAAATGAGGAAAAATTGGAAGTAAAATGAGGAAAAAATGGGGGGAATGGAGAAAATCAAGGGAAAATTGGGGGAAAAATGGGAAAAAATGGAAGGAAAATGGGATAAAAATGGGAGGAAAATGAGAGAAAAGTGGGAGGAAAATGGGAGGAAAATGGGAGGAAAATGGGAGAAAAATGGGAGAAAAATGGGAGGAAAATAAGGAAAAAAATGGAAAAAAATTCAGAAAATCAGGTAAAAAACGAGAGAAAAAAAGGGAAAAATCGGTGAGAGAAAAGTGGGAGAAAAATGGGAGGAAAATGGGAGGAAAATAAGGAAAAAAATGGAAAAAAATTCAGAAAATCAGGTAAAAAACGAGGGGGAAAAAGGGAAAAATCGGGAAAAAATTCCCATTTTCCCGTGGGATCCCGTTTGGCAGTGGAGCAGCCGCTGACCAGGGACTACGAGGTGTGCCTGGGAGTGGCCAGGGGAGAAAAATGGGAAAAAATGGGAGAAAAACTGGGAAAAATGGGGGGAAACGGGAGAAAAAATGAGGAAAAATTGGGGGAAAATGGGAGAAAAATGGGGGGAAAAAGGACATTTGGGGACATTTAGGGACACCTGGGACATGTGGGACATGCAGTGGCACTTGGGGACAACGATGGTATGGGGAAAATGGGCAAAAATGGGGAAATCTGGGGACACCAGAGATGATCTGGGACCCCTTCCAACTGTGAGGATGATGATGGTGGCAACCAAAAAAACCCCCAAAAAACGCCCAAAAAACGCCCAAACCGTCCCGCGGCGCCTGCCCCGCCAGTGTCCCCGGGTGTCCCCAAGTGCCACCAAGGGGTTGTGTGGGAGAAAAATGGGGGGGAAGTGGAGAAAATCAAGGGAAAATTGGGGGAAAAATGGGGGAAATGGGAGAAAAATGGGGAAAAAATGGGGAAATGGGAGAAAAATGAGGAAAAAATAAGAAAAAAATGGGAGGGAGAAAGGGGTGGAAGATGGGAGGAAAGTGGGAGGAAATGGTAAAAAATTGGGAAAAAATGGGGGGAAATGGCTGAAAAATGTGAAAAATTGGAGAAAAATGGGAGAAAAAATGGGGGGAAATGGAAAAAAGAAAGGAAAAAATGGGGGGGGAATGGGAGGAAAATGGGGGAAAATTGGAAGAAAAATTAGGAAAAAATGGGGGGAAATGGAGAAAATCAAGGGAAAATTGGGGGGAAGGTGGGAGAAAAATGGGAAAAAATGGAGGGGAAATGGGAGGAAAATGGGAGGAAAATGAGAGAAAAATGGGAGGAAAATGTGAGAAAAATGGTAGAAAAATATGAGAAAAATGGGAGGAAAGTGGGAGGAAAATGGGAGAAAAATTGGAAAAAATTAAGAGAAATAATGTCAAAAAATTGAGCAATTCAGGTAAAAAACGAGGGGAAAAAAGGGAAAAAAATTCCCGATTTTCCGACTGATCCCATTTTCCCGTTTGGCAGTGGAGCAGCCGCTGACCGGGGACTACGAGGTGTGCGTGGGCGCCGCCGGCGGCCCCGGCTCCTCGCGGGTGATCTCGGCCGCCGACCTCGGGCACTTCCTGCTGCGCTGCCTGCGCGGCGCCGAGTTCGACGGGCAGAGCGTCTACGTCAGCCGCCACTACCCCAAGGAGTAGGGATCCGCTGGGATCCACTGGGATCCGGTGGGGTCCAAAGGGGTCCAAAGGGGTCCAAAGGGATCTGGTGGGATTTGGAACTGGGATCTGGTAGGGTCTGGTGGGTTCTGGTGGGTTTTGGAGCCAGGATCTGGGGGATCTGGGGGGGATCTGGTGGGATCTGGTGGGATTCAGGGCCGGGATCTGGTGGAGCCTGGTGGGATCTGGTGGCGTTGGGTGGGTTTTGGAGCTGGGATCCACTGGGATCCACTGGGGTCCAAAGGGGTCCAAAGGGGTCCGGTGGGGTCCAAAGGGGTCCAAAGGGGTCCGGTGGGGTCTGGGGCCAAGATCTGGTGGGGTCTGATGGGATCTGGTGGGATTTCGGGCCGGGATCTGGTGGGATTTGGAACTGGGATCTGATGGGATCTGGTAGGGTCTGGTGGGTTCTGGGGGGTTTTGGAGCCAGGATCTGGTGGGATCTGGTGGGATCTGGTGGGATCTGGTGGTGTTGGGTGGGTTTTTTGAGCTGGGATCTGATGGGATCCAATGGGATCTGGTGGGATCTAGTGTGATCTGGAGCTGGGATCTGGTTGGATCTGATGGACTCTGGTGGGATCTGGTGGGATTTGGAGCTGGGAGCTGATGGGAGCTGATGGGATCTGGTGGGATCTGGTGGGGTTTGGTGCCAGGATATTATGGGGTCTGGTGGGATCTGCTGGGGTCTGGTGGGATTCAGGGCCAGGATCTTGTGGGATATGGTGGGATCTAATGGGATCTGTTGGGGTCTGGTGGGATTTGGGACCAGGATCTGATGGGATCCAGCGGGATCCGCTGGGGTCTGCTGGGATTTGGGGCCGGGGTCTGGTGTGATCTAATGGGATCTGGTGGGATTTCGAGCCCGGGTGTGGTGGGGCCTGGTGGGATCTGATGGGCTTTGGGGCCGGGATCGGGTGGGTTCGGAGCCCGGGATCCAACGGGATCCACTGAGGCACAACGAGATCTGGTGGGGTTTGGAACCAGATGCTGGTGAGATCCACCAGAATCCGCTGGGATCTGCTGGGATCTTATGGGATCCACTGGGACACGATGGGATTTGGAGCCTGGATCTGGTGGGATCTGAGCCCAGGATCCACCGGGATCCGCTGGGATCTGGTGGGATACGAGACTGGGACATGACAGGATCTGGTGGGAATCTGATGAGATCTGGTTGGGTCTGGTGGGATCCACTGGGATCTGGGGCCGGGATCTGGTGGGATCTGGGGCCGGGATCTGGTGGGATCTGACAGGATCTGGGATCAGCCCCGGGAGGTTGGGGGTTCCTTGGGATTCACGTCCTGCGATTATCCCGGGATCTAGTGTGATCTGGAGCTGGGATCTGGTTGGATCTGATGGACTCTGGTGGGATCTGGTGGGATTTGGAGCTGGGAGCTGATGGGAGCTGATGGGATCTGGTGGGATCTGGTGGGGTTTGGTGCCAGGATATTATGGGGTCTGGTGGGATCTGCTGGGGTCTGGTGGGATTCAGGGCCAGGATCTTGTGGGATATGGTGGGATCTAATGGGATCTGTTGGGGTCTGGTGGGATTTGGGACCAGGATCTGATGGGATCCAGCGGGATCCGCTGGGGTCTGCTGGGATTTGGGGCCGGGGTCTGGTGTGATCTAATGGGATCTGGTGGGATTTCGAGCCCGGGTGTGGTGGGGCCTGGTGGGATCTGATGGGCTTTGGGGCCGGGATCGGGTGGGTTCGGAGCCCGGGATCCAACGGGATCCACTGAGGCACAACGAGATCTGGTGGGGTTTGGAACCAGATGCTGGTGAGATCCACCAGAATCCGCTGGGATCTGCTGGGATCTTATGGGATCCACTGGGACACGATGGGATTTGGAGCCTGGATCTGGTGGGATCTGAGCCCAGGATCCACCGGGATCCGCTGGGATCTGGTGGGATACGAGACTGGGACATGACAGGATCTGGTGGGAATCTGATGAGATCTGGTTGGGTCCGGTGGGATCCACTGGGATCTGGAGCCGGGATCTGTTGGGATCTGGTGGGATCTGGTGGGAATTTGGGGCCGGGACACGATGGGATCTGGTGGGACCGGATGGGACCTGATGGGAATGAGGATCAGGGGCCGGGATCTGGTGGGATCTGCTGGGTTCCTCTGGGATCCGAGACCAGGACCTGGCCGGATCCAGTGGGATCTGGGGCCGGGATCTGGTGGGATCTGGGCTCGGGATCTGGTGGGATCCGACAGGATCTTGGATCTGGGGCCGGGATCTGGTGGGATCTGGGCTCGGGATCTGGTGGGATCTGGCATGATCTGGGATCTGGGATCTGGGATCAGCCCCGGGGGGTTGGGGGTTCCTTGGGATTCACGTCCTGGGATTATCCCAGAGTTTGGGGGATCCACCCCCGGGATGACCCCAGGGATTTGGGGGATCCGGTCCCAGGATGATCCCAGAGTTTGGGGGATTCCTTGGGATTCTCATCTCGGGATCATCCCAAAAAACTGGGGGATCCACCCCCGGGATGATTCCAGGGATTTGGGGGATTCCTTGGGATCCACCCCAGGGATGATCCCAGGGATTTGGGGGATCCTTCAGGATCCACCCCAGGAATGATCCCAAGAATTTTGGGGGGCCCTGAGAGAATTTTGGGGGATTCTGAAGGATTTTGGAGGGAGTTCTGGGAGAACTGGAGGATTTTGAGGGGTCCTGGGAGGATTTGAGGAATTTTGGGAGGATTTTGGGGGGTCCCTGAGGGGTTTTTGGGGATCCCCCCGTCCGGAACGCCCGCGGGGCGCGCCTTGTATGCAAATGAACCCGCGCTCCATGCAAATGAGGCCCCTCCATGCAAATATTCCCGCGCTGTATGCAAATAAACGCGGCCACGCCCCACAGCCCCGTATGCAAATAAAGCTCTCCGTCCTCTCCTCTGATTGGCCGCGCCGCCGCGCGGAGCGGGGCTGGCGGTGAGCGCTTCTGATTGGCTGCACGCGGCGCTGCCGTGTCCGCTGATTGGTCCGGGCGCAGCCGTATGCAAATGAAGCGGGTGAGGGAGAGGGGCGGGGCCTCCCTGCTTGAGGGGTCCCAGTTTAAAGAGGGGGGGGGCCCAGTTTGGAGGGGGCAAATCCCAGTTTGGAGGGGGCAAATCCCAGTTTGGAGGAGGGAAATCCCAGTTTGCGGTGGGGGGGGGAATCCCAGTTTAGGGGGCGGAATTCCAGTTTGGGGTTGACATCCCAGTTTGGGGTTGACATCCCAGTTTAGGGGGGGAATCCCAGTTTGGTGGAGTCCCAGTATAAAAAAGGGGTCCCAGTTTGAGGGGGATCCCCCAGTTCGGAGTGGGAATTCCCAGTTTTGGGGGGGATCCCATCTTTAGGGCGGTCCCACTTTTAGGGGGGTTCGCCAGTTTGGGGTCTCCCAGTTTATAAAACTACTCCCAATTTGGGGGCAATCCCCAGTTTGGAGTCTCCCCACTATTGAGAGCTCCCCAATTTCCCTGCAGCGCCCCCAGTTTAGGGGGGGACACCCCCAAATTCGGGGGTTCCCCCCTCACAAAACGCGTCCTGCGCCTTTAAGACGCTCCCCCCTCACGCCCAAACCTGCAGCGCCCCCTGGCGGCCCGGCGGTCTTCCCGCCTTCTCCCCAAGCCCCGCCCCTCCGCTTCGGCCTCGCTCGGGCCGCGCTCGGCCCTTTCCGCCAGGACCGGCGGAGACGCTCTCAGGGAGCGGAGTGGGGGGGGGGGGGTCTCATTGGCCGGTGCGCTCGCGCCGCCCCCCTTCATTGGCCGCGGCGCTCGCGCCGCTTCCGCCGCGCCCCCCCATTGGCCGCAGCGCTCGCGCCGCCGGTGAGTGACAACCGCCTCCCCCCCCGCTTCCCCTCAGACCCCCGCCGGGTGCGGGGGCGGCGGGAGGGGGACTCCGCTGCTGCCGCCGCTTCCGCCGTTGTCGGGTAAGGCCCGGTTTTAAGGCCCGCAGAAAGGTTTTTAGGCCTTAAAAAAGGGGAGGGCGGCGGCGTTGTGAGGCCCCGGAACCGTCGGGAATCCCCCCGGGGGTTTTTGCCGGTGCCCGGCGGGCGCTGCCGGGAGTTGTAGTTCTGAGGGGGGCAGCCCCTGAGGGAGGGGAGGGGCTCTGAGGGGCTGTTTTGAGGGGGAAATGGAGATTTTTGGGGGTTTCTGAGGGGGTTTTGGGGTCCCTGAGGGGCTCTGGGGTTTTGTTTTGAGGGGGGGGAGGTTTAGGGAACCTTTGAGTGACGGGCTCGGGGGTCCCTGAGGGGTTCGCGGGATGTTGTGAGGGGAAAATTGTGATTTTGGGGGAAATTTCAGCTTCATGAGGGGTTTGTAGGATATTTTGAGAGGAAAGCTGTGATTTAGGAAGGGATTTGGGGTTTTTGAGGGGTTCTTTGGGTGTTTGGAGAGAACAAATGGGATTTTTGCGGGGGGTTGGGGTCCCTGAGGGCTCCGGGTTGAATTTTGAGGGGAAAATTGTGATTTTGTGGGAATTTGGGGTTTTAATGATAGAATTTGTGGTTGCTGAGGGGATTTAGGATTCCTGAGGGGACTTGGGGTTGGGTTTTGAGGGGAAAAATTGTGATTTTAGGGGAATTTGGGGTCTCTGAGGGGTTTTGGGGTCCCTGAGGGGATTTAGTTTTGAATTTTGAGGGGAAAATTGTGATTTTTGGGGAATCTGGGGTTCCTGAGGGGGTTTAGGTTTGGATTTTGAGGGAAAAAAAAATGGTTATTTAGGGGAATTTGGGGTCTCTGAGGGGTTTTGGGGTCCCGGAGGGGATTTGGGGTTGGATTTTGAGGGAAAAAAAAATGGTTATTTAGGGGAATTTGGGGTCTCTGAGGGGTTTTGGGGTCCCGGAGGGGATTTGGGGTTGGATTTTGAGGGAAAAATTTTGATTTTAGGGGAATTTCAGGTCACTGAGGGGTTTTGGGATCCCGGAGGGGATTTGGGGTTGGATTTTGAGGGGAAAAAAAATGGTTATTTAGGGGAATTTGGGGTTCCTGAGGGTATTTAAGATTGGATTTTGAGGGAAAAATTGGGATTTTTTTTTGGTAATTTGGGCTTTTTGAGAGGATTTAAGGTCAGACTTTGAAGGAAAATTGTGATTTTTTTTTTGGAATTTGGTGTTCCTGAGGCTATTTAGTTTTGAATTATGAGGGAAAAACTGTGATTTTTTTGGAATTTGGGGTTGGATTTTGGGGGAAATTTGAATTTTGGGGCAGTTTCCCTTCACCCCCTCCTCAACTCCTTCTCTCACCCCTCCAAAAAAGGGGAATATTTTGATTTTTTCCCTTTTTTTCCCATATTTTTTGAATAAAATCCCCTAAAAATGCCCTGCAAAGGATTTAATGATTCATCCAATTAATTATTTTAATTATTTATGTTATTAATTAATAGTAATTTGTCCCCCCTCAGTGCTCAGCAGGGATTTGATGCCCTCAGGCTCAAATTTCCCCCAAAAATCCCCCAAATTTCCCCCAAAATTCCCCCCAAACCCCCCAATT